GAGATAGATTTCACTCAAAATATTTTTGAATTATGATAAATATTTATTTTTTAAAATTTGATTAAAATTTAGGCATTCAATGATTAACTTTAAAATTTGGGGGCATTTTCATGTAATCTCCTTCGGTTGAGATTTTCTGTCAAAATGATCATCATCAAGGTGATATTGAAGCTATTTGAAAATATTTGTGTTTATAATATAAAATTATAATTTTTAGAATTAAATCTTCAATTGAATTTTACTTTCAACCTGGCCACCATATAGGAGAGTTTGACAATTTTCATTCTGCTATTTGAACATTATCAAACTATACCCACTTTTTGGTAGAGGATCAAGTATGATATGAGTTCATATGGCAATTTGATGAAGAATCTCCTTTGATATTTTCTTTCAGCATGCCCATCATCATGTTGATATTGAAGTTAACTTGAAAATATTTATATTTATAGCATAATGATTTGAATTTGAGAATTAACCACCTCATGTTAAGATTTACCTTCAACACATCCATCATTGAGCATTTTAAAGTTATTCCTCTCGAGGTAAGGTATATTAATATTATGCACATCTCAATTTTAAAAAAAGTGAAAGTTTTGGCGAATATTTCGTTTAAAATTTTGTAACTGTTAGCGAAAAATGGGGATAACTTTGCACCGATAAACCTTTCACTGCGTAACTTTTTGTATGTTGTAGAGATTACGATTATGCACATTTTGAATATTTTCTAGAAATTTTTCAGCGGGGGTTTTGAAATTTGCGGGGTTTTTAGTGAATAGAAAACTATCGGGATGTTGAAAAATAGTGTTATAATACAATAAAAGTCTTAAAATGTTGTTTTACACAATCTCTGGTAATTTGATAATTTTTTAAAAATATGCATTTTTGCCTAGTTAGATTTTCTGTTGTCTACCGTTATACAATACTGTGACATTTTGATATATGCACGGTTACTCTTTAATTGTTATAATGCGATGATATATGTGTATATGTGATTAAATTATATCTGTTGTGAGCCATAAGGGGACAGAATCCTTTGAGATTCTGTTTGTATCAGGGCATTTCTAGGAGTTATAAGGGGACAATTCTTTGAAATTTTGTCTGAGACAGGGATATCTGATATGTTTTGGTGCTATAAGCACGAATAATAAGGGGGTCATAAGGGGTCAGAATCTTTTGAGATTTTGTTTGGGTCCAGGATATGTGATATGAACTACTCTGTGATATGAATTTCAATTTATTCATTTATTCTATATTGCTATTTGGTTATTTGAATCATAGAATAGCTGTTATGCATTTATTACAAAGTTTCAATTTTGTGATTCTCAGTTCAGTGATTTATTTAAACTGTAATTAACTGCTTTTAATTATTCAGTAATTATTCAGTAAAATATTTAATAAAAGAATATTTGAAAATTTAGATTGATTTGTATGGCTTGCTGAGCTGTTGTAGCTCACTGTGATTTTACTGCAAGTTTTTAGGATCTGGGAACGGAAAAGAGGTTGTGGACTAGCTGTTCAGGATCAGATCTGAGTTCATAGGTATTTTATTATTTTGACTTTTGTACAATCATAGTTAGTTTAATTTTCAGTTCTGTAGCTATTGCCTATAGCCATGTACTATAGTGCATATATTTATTTTGATGAATGAAAGAAACTTTATGGATGAGTTTTTCAGTATTTAGATTTTTTAGTAGCTCTGTAGTTTATCATTTATTTCAATGAATATCGGTAGAAAATTTGAAATAATTTAAAAACTAGATCTTGGGGTTTGCCTGTCACAGCTCAACATAATAGGACCTATCCTGATCAGGTTGGGTTGTGACAATTTCAATGTATTTACATGATGCATTATGTATTGGCATGTCTTTCGGTGCGCTCACATGATGAATTTGCCCACACTTCAGTACATTTGCATATTCACATATTTTTAATGTATTTACGACACTTCAGTGCTTTATGGTGCAGAATGTTGACCATTAAAAGAGAAGCATAATGTTAAGTGTTGCAGAGATGAGGATGCTCAGGTGGATGAGTGGATTTACTCTTAGAGATAGGATACGAAATGAGCATATACGTGAAAAGGTTGGAGTAGCTCCAATGGAAGATAAGATTAGAGAGAGTCGTCTTAGATGATTGGTCACATAAAATGATAGCCTTCTGATGACACGGTCAGAAAATAGATGCATTAGATGTGATTTATGTCAAGAAAGGTAGAGGTAGACCTAAAAAGACTTGGTTAGAAAATATTAGAAATGACATTTCTTTATCAGATTTAAATGTGAATTTAACTTTTAACGGGCACAATGGAGAAAAAGGATTCATGTAGCAACCCCACATAGTGGGATAAAGACTTGATATTGTTGTTGTTTGTATGCACACTTCGGTGCGCTCATCCAATACACTTGCCCATACTTCAAAGCATTTGTAGTATGCATTCGCATGTTTTTAATGTATTTGCAACCTTCAATGTGCTCACATCTAAAGTTAAGGCCTCTGGAATTTGGCAGAAATTTGAGATCTCTCCTAGGTATTGTTTGGCCTCTAGGAGCGTCTAGAGATTAGGAGAGCCGGATCCTCCTCTCTTCCTCTCCAAATGAGGATTCATTGTATCATGTTGCTTTTCTTCTATAATTTTTATCAATCAAAAAGTTCTTCTATGGTTTTATTCATCCAAGTTTTCTCAATCTTGGTTATTGCAAAGTGCTGAAATTAAATTATAACAAGGGAGATTCTTGTTTCCTACAAGAGTTGCCTATCAAATTGGTATCAGAGCAATTTTCGAGGCTGAAAGAGAAGTCTTCGTCGCTGATTTTTGCTGCATTTCGTATTTGATCTTGTTGTTTTGCTATTTGGAAGTTAGAATTCGTGTCAAAGTTGGTGCTCTTTGCTATTGGAGCCTAAATCCATGTTCCCATGACAGGAAGAAAGGTAGAGGTAGAAATGTTCAAATAGGAGATCGGACAATTGAAATTTGAAACTTCATATCTCCACACTCAACTTTCAGATGTCAAAAGTCAAATTTCAGCCATCCACGAAAAAATGGATCGGAATTTTTTCATTTTGTGTGAGATGTTTAAGAAGTTGCTCGAGGGACAACCAAAAACGGCGTCGTCAAAGGTGAGGGAAGCCTCGAACAACCAAGGAAGCGGGGAAAACTGTAATCCAATAAGGCAAAGAGAAGATCAGTAGGTGTAGATTCGAAACGGAGAAGATAAAATACCTCCCCTAGAGCCTATTCCTAGGGAAGAGTCGGGTATAGGGTATGGGGAGAGGCGTGAGGAGGTAGGGCAAAAACGAACAGGTGCTAAATATAAGAGGAAAGGGGCAGATTTTGAAAGGGAAATGGGTAATTATGACCGAAGAGGGCTAAATTTGAAAGGAGAGGAGTTTATTATGATCCCAGGGATGCTGAATTTGAAAGGCAAGGTGAAATTTTGATGACAACTTTGGGTATGAGCATAGAAAGGATGATTGTGACATTTGGGGGAACCACCCCCTTGGGGAATGGTAAATTATGGAGGGAACAGCGGGAACAAAGGCGATCCGAGGGTGAGGAAACTGAAGATGCTAATCTTTGAGAGGGATGATGCGTACGGGTGGATCTACAAGGTAGAAAGATATTTCGTCGTCAATGGGTTGACAGAGGATGAGAGATTGATGGCAACGGGCCTATGTTTGGAATGGAAGGCTTTGCCTTGGTACTGATGGAGAGACATGTGACGACCCATACAGAGTTGGAGGGAGTTCAAGGATTGCTTGGTATAACGTTTTCGAACCAACAAGTGAGAAGACTTCTACTAGCAATTCTTCGCCTTAACACAGGATGGTTCAGTGATGGAGTACCATGAGAGATTCGAGTACACTGCTAGCCAATTGGATCGCATTTCTGGGATAGTGCTAGAGGGAAACTTCATGAAGGAATTGATACCAGAGATCCGGGCAACAGTTAGAGTAATGAGGCATCGTGACTTGGGAAAGGCTATGGAGATAGCACAATTGGTAGAGGATCAAAGGCACCTGGAGAGAGAGACGAGAGGCAGCAGCTCATGAGGTCCGAACAGGAGGACCACCACCTTTCTGGCACCCAAAGAGCCGACACCGGGTACTCTTCGGGAGACCCTGAAAGAGAAGACTGATAGAGGGACACCTAGGGACAACTTCAAAAAATTCACAGAAATGGAGTTATAGGAGAAGAGGGTGAAGAGGCTTTGTTTCAGATGTGAGGAAAGGTATACATCAGAGCACAGATGTAAGGACCGAACTCTTCAGGTTCTTACCATTTGTGATGACGAGGAAATTATGGAGGGTGTCATCCTTCCACCTTGAGGACAAGGTGGATCTTTGGGAGGGATATATTGTTAGACCGGTCATTCGAACCCAGCCTATCCACACTGGACCGGCCCGCTTCTACGCGAGGTGGAATAGAGCCAGCTTCCCGATTGTGCCGCTCGAACCGAAGGGGCCAACAAAGACGATTAGGAAAGATTTAGGAATATTTTAGGAGGACACTTTAAAAGTAGGGGTTGTTTAGAGATTTTCTTTTGGATTGTATGCATTAAATGATTAAATAGTTTGTTTTTCTAGAGTTAGAACATCTAGAATTTGGCAGAAATTTGAGATCTCTCTTAGGTTTTGTTTGGGCTCTAGAGGCGTCTAGAGACTGGGAGAGCTGAATCCTCCACTCCAATTGAGGATCCATTATATTTGTAGCTTTTCTTCTATTATTATCAATCAAAAAGTTATTCTCTGGTTTTATTCATCCAAGTTTTCTCAATCTTGGTTATTGCAAAGTGCTAAAATTAAATTTCAGCATGGGAGATTCTTGTTTCCTACAAGTGTTACATATCACAACTCGATTGGGGGTTGTGAAATAAATTAGTATATTTGAATCAATGGTTAAACAAGTGACAAAATAAAACCAAAACATTTTTCCGAGTAAACGTGCCCAGATTTTTTTGGTAAACAAGATTTCTCAAATTATAAAATTAGCATGGTCATACCAATTGGGAGAAGTGCAAGCTTGTCATCCTTCATATGGGAAAATAGATTGCATTTTATATCAGCATAATTTTGCATAGTCTTGTGCCTATCGAGATGATCAGGCGTTAGGTTTAGAATCACTGCAACCTTTAAAAACCTAACAGAATTAGTGAATAATAACTGAACATTTAAGGTTTGAATCAATGAAACAGTACAACAAGGCCTTCTAGATCACTTACAGAAGGAGAAAAGTACTTGCTTGGTATTTCCATCTGATAGCTGCTAACCTCTACCACAGCAGCCTGTTAAATATCGGTAATTCCAAGATTTAGCTCAAACAAAAATCTCTGTAATACCTTGTTGTGTAGCTTTTGATGATATGTAATTGTGAGCAAAAGTAAATGTTATACTTGAAAACACCAGTAATCAAATTTTACAAAGGAACAAACTCTCCCCACCCGCAGCTTATATGCAAATTATTTTGCAATGCTATTACATACATTGATAGAAGCAGCATCAATATATCAATTATGTAAGCCTCACTTGAAATTTCTACCAAGTCCCAACTTTTTCATAAATAGACCTTGGGTAAATAGTCTAAGAGAACAACTTAGCCAATTAACTCAGTACAGCCGATAACCCTAGCGTAGTCACTTTCTCTAACCTAAAATTTAGTTGACTGTCAACAGTTTGCATCCTACCGAACTCAACAACAAATCAAGAATCTAAAGGGATCAACACCTCAATAAGTTCATCATCATCATTAGCCTTATGCCAACTATTTTTTGCCAGCTTAAACCTCAGCTATTTCACCCATCCCAATTCAAATTTGATGAATCAAAACTGAATCAACTCAAATCAAATCTCAAGTTCTAATGCTTAGGAGATGAAGGAATTTATTAACTTACGAAACTTTTTAATCTTATTATGAAGACTAAAAAGATGTCAGATGAGTGGAGTAGTGTGTTGATTCCTATTTTTAAGAATAAAGATGATGTCCAAGAGTGTGAAATTTTAGAGGAATTAAGTTAATATTTTATACTTTAAAACTTTAGGAGAGAGTAATTGAACATAGGTTACGACGTGATACTAATATTTCTCAAAATCAATTTGGATTCATGTCGGGTAGGTCTACTATAGAAGGTATAAGTTTATTGAGAGGTTTGATGGAGAAGTATAGAGAGAATAAGGAGGATCTACATATGATATTTTGTTAACCCGCCGTATAAAACCTCTGGGTAGTGTCTTATTTACAAACCCATCTGCCTTCCAAAATTTACCCCGGAACTTAGTTCGTTAAAACTCCCTCGCCGAATAAGAAAAGCGAGTGGAGGCCGGGGCCGAATTTTCGGAGCCCACATATTTATTGATCTAGAGAAAGCTTATGATAAAGTTGCAAGAGAAGTGCTTTGGAGAGTTTTAGAAAAGAAAGGGGTTAATAATGTTTATACTAAAGTCATTAAAGATATATATGCAAGAGTTGGTACTTGTGTTCAAACACAAGGTGGTTGGACCAAATATTTTCCTATTTAGTTGGATTATATCAAGGATCAGCTTTAATCCCATATCTTTTTGCATTAGTCATAGATGTTCTTACTAGACATTTACAAGAGGATGTACCATGGATTATACTTTTTGCAGATGATATTCTTCTTGTTGATAAGACTAGAGAGGGAGTTGAAGGTAAACTTGAAATATGGAGGTCAACCTTAGAGTCTAAAAGTTTTTGTTCGAATAAATCTAAAACCGAATACATTGAGTGTAATTTTGGTAGTAATACATCTAGTTGGGGGATTGTGAATTTAAGTGATCAAGTCATTAATAAGAATACGCATTTTAGATATCTCATGACTATTGTCCGGAGTGATGGTGAAATAGATGGGGATATTATTAGTAGAATTCAAGTTGGATGGTTAAAGTAGAGGAATGCATCGGGCAGGTAATGTGATAGAAAAGCAACGCTCAAACTTAAGAGAAAATTCTCTAATATGGTGGTGAGAACTGTAATGCTTTATAGCGCAAAATGTTGGTCATTAAAAGAGAAGCATAAAATTAAGTTAAGTCTTGCAAAGATGAGGAAGCTCAGTTGGATAAGTGGCTTTACTCTTAGAGGCAATGCAAAACGAGTATATGTATGATAGGTTGGAGTAACTCCAGTGACAGATAAGATTAGAGAGAGTCTCCTTAGATAGTTTGGTCACATAAAACATTAGCCTTCCGATGACCTGGTTAGGAGAGTAGATGTATAAGATTTGGCTTATGTTAGGAAAGTAAGAAGTTGACCTAAAAAGACTTTGTTAGAAAATATTAGAAATTATCTTTTATTTATTGGATTTAAATGAGAATTTAATACTTAACATGACACAATGGAGAAAAAGAATTCATGTAGCCGACCCCACGTAATGGGATAAATACTTGATGTGAAATAGTTACCCATACTTAGAATAATTAAATAGTTCAAAACCTAGTTTATGGAGCCTCAAGTTTACTCTTGTGAGTCCCCTCACCCTCAACTTTCTTCACACATAATTTGTTCAAATTTTGTTCATTTAGTGCAGCACTACAGTAGCCGCAAACCTCAATCAGACGACATTAACTCACCTCTTATCCTATAATGCAAATTTTGTGCCTTCATCTCTTTATTGGATGCCAATCAACATATCAGCTCAAACAACCAAAATCAGAGCTCCCTCCGATCATGAGTACTATCTGAGCTACAATAAATCGCAACTGTTGTCAGATTGAGCTCATGAACATTTATTGGGATTTTGTTCCTCTCTTTTATTTGTGAAAATCAAAGGATTAGAAGTGTAGCAAATAGTTAAAAGTTCAGTTATCATAATTATTGTGTGTCAGAACAATTGCGACAACAAAGAAATAAAAAGCTTAATGTTTTAGATTTGCACAAAAATTCAACACAGCATAGAGAAGAGAGGCGTGCAAAAATTATAAAAGACACCAAAATTTTTATACGAAAAACCCAAGAAAGGAAAAAAACCATGGGGCCTAGCTCAATTAAAGTGATTCCACTAGTGTTTGTCATCGATTAGAAATAATGCTCTTTGTCAAGGGAAGACATTGATATAATATAAAAAACATATTATATGGTTGAAGTTGGAAGAAACCTATAGCAAAGGAACTTTCTTTAAGAGATGAAGTCAATAGGAAATAGTGTAGCCAACAACAATGGTCAAAAGATTGTAGATTGGAGGATCGTATTTGAGTGCTGGTGGTAGGAGGATCGTATTTGGGTGACAGTGGTTAGAGGACCGTTGTCGGATAATGGTGGTCGGAAGAACCATAGTCGAGCAACTGTAGTCGGAATGACCTAGTTGGGCGACAAAAGATGGAGGACCTTAGTGGAGCGACAGAGAAAAGAGGATCATAGTAGAACGAAGAAGAATGGAGGACTATAGTTGGGTGACAGTGGTCGAAAAAACTATAGTAAGGCGACGATGATCAGAAGAACTGTAGTTGGGCGACGGTGGTCAGAAGGACTATAGTTGGACAACAATGGTCTGAAGGATTATAATCTGGCAGTGGTGGTTGGAGGATTGTATTTGAGCAATGGTGGCTAGAGTGTGGCGAAGGTCAAATAACCATAGTATGACCACAGTAGTTGAATGACCATAGTCGAGCGACGAATGATGGAGGATCATAGTTGAGTGATGGAGATCAAATGACCATAGCTAGAATAAGGAAGCCAAAGGACCGTAGTCTAGATGGAGGATAGAGGACCGTAGAGGGGCGACTATGGGTGAAAAATTATAGTCATCCAACAAAGGTTGGAGGATCATAATCAAGTGACAAAGATCAAAGGATAGTTGGGTCATGGTGGTTGGAAGGATGGTAGTCGGGTGATGTTGGTTAGAGGATGAAGGAGGACCATAGTGAGGTGAAGATGGTTGGAGGACTATAGAAGGGCAATAGTGGATAAATGGATCGTAGCAGGCAATTTTGGACCGTAGTCGGGCAACAAAGAAAAATGATGTGACAATGGCAGTCGGACGATATTTCGATGATAGTAGTATGGTTATCATTTGACAGGGTGGTCAAGCGATGGCCTGATAGCGACATTGAGTGGTAACGGTCAAGTGATGGTGCTTGAGTAAACCTCCAAAATTCTTAGAACCTCTAAACTGCCTTAAATCTCAAGCCCTCCAAACTTTAATTGTTGGATGAATATAACACCCAAAGAGAGGGGAGAGGTGAATTGGGTTTTAAAACTTTTTTATTAAAAGAAAATAATTAAAATAAATTTGATGCTATTTGGCAAGGAATTAAATAACCACACAATTTTTTTAAGAAAATGATAAAGAAAAATTGATGCAAGAAAAGAAAATAACAAACACGATATTTTTACGTCGCTTGGCCTAAATTCCAATCTGGACAACATCCACACTAGCCAACTCTTGGTCTAGAATTCACTAATCCCAAATTTGTTTTGCAAATCTCACTTCTTTAAATCAAAGAAATTGTTTAGAACATCCTAAGCAGTCTTATACACGGACGAGTACAACCCAATCTTATTATAATTCAAACTTCATTATCTCAAATGGCTTAGATTAAAAAATATATATATAATTTAATGTAAATAATATAAGCTTAAATTATCTTGCAATAAAATGATCAAAATATTTGAGGTGGTCTTATAATTTTGATGTAGGCAAAGGGGGGGTCAACTCAAACCCAAAATAAGTTGGATTTGACTTCCCTTGAGCTTACAAGCTCAATCAATTCGAGCTTGAATTTAGCTCATTTATGAGCTGATTTTTAGTTCATTTATTGAACTAAGGATTAGCTCATTATTAGCTAAGTTTTAGTTCATAGTTATCTTTTATTTAATGTACTTTTTATTATAATTTTTAATATCTTCATTTAAGTTATCTCTTGGGTTTCCAAAAGGGCTTTGGAATCCCAAGAAGTTGTTTGTTTCCCATATGTAGCTCCTTGGCTTCCACCATGGGCTATTATTTTTTGTGCCTTTGCCCCTTGGATTTCCGGTCGGCTGTTGGTTTTCCGAGCCTGGGAATTTTCCCGTGGCTTTGGCGTCTTGGTTCCGTGCGGCCTCCTTGGTTCCCGTGGTGGCTCCTTCGGTTCCTGGGCTTGGGCTGTTTTTCCGTGAAAAGCATTTGGGTTTTAATGTTTGTGATGTTTAGAATTCCTATGTTAATTCATTGTTAGTGTCCTTTTGTATCCCCCTTTCATACCTATAAATATGAGGGGTTTGTTATGTTTTAAAAAAGTGAATGTTATGTGATTTTTGGAATCTAACCTGCGGGTTATTGGAAAAGCTTGCGAG